TTTGTGCCTTTTCCCACCTCAGTTGTAATCCCTGTGGGTTTCCCACCACCAATTCACCTGTGTGCCATCACCATAGTCCAGTGCACTTTCCCTCCCCCCATTTTTCATCCCATCCCATTGCAAAATGTGTCTGTCTTATTTTTAAAGTTAATTTTGATGCAATTTTCTTGGTGCCTGTAGGTATTAATTATGATTTTTTAAAAACAGTCACAAGAGTCTGTTTCTGTTCTCTTGACCCTAAGGAGCCAGCAAGCAGTGGCAGTTCAGGTGACACAGAACGGGAGTTATGGTCTCCCTTTTTGCTGTTACAGGTTAATGACCCAAGCCTGCCCAATGATGAAGGCATCACCGCCCTGCACAATGCTGTGTGTGCAGGCCACACAGAAATTGTCAAGTTCCTGGTACAGTTCGGTGTGAATGTCAATGCTGCTGATAGTGACGGATGGTAAGATTTTCTTTTGCGTTTCAGTCAAATTTCACTTACATCTGCTGTACAAGCAGTCAAGTAGGTGCTGTTGGAAGGCAAATGAGTATGTCAGTATATGTCCTCACACAGTTCTGTTCTAGAAGAAGTGTGTTAAACATTTTTGAGGAATTAACATGTCTTCATGTCATAGTCATCTCAGTCCTTTTCTGGAAGCAAATAAAATAAGAAATGTCATGAAGGAAGACCCTTCAAGAGTATGCTTAAGCAAGCTTCCTCGAATCCCCTGAAACTTCTTAGTCTTTAATATACTAAGGTCCTTTGTGTGTCTCCAAGGGGGCATTGTGATTTGTAACCTTTCCCAAATGTTTCATGGAGCCTTTTGTGGAACTGTTACAGTGTAAAACACAGGATGTGGAGGATAATGGCCTACTATTACTATTAAATAGTAATAAAGGTTCTCATAAGTTACTGTCACTCCTAATATTAATAATAAAATGAATTCTGTATTTTTAAGTTTTGAATTATATCTTCTTTTTTGGAAAAAATAGAAAAATTTGCTATCTTCTATATAGACTTTTTAAAAATTGTAATCACACTATATGCAGTATTATAATTTTATAGCCAATTTTTCTTTCGACATGAGAAAAAGTTAGACTTTCATCCCAAATTCTCATTCATGAGAATGTTGTGCATAGGAGACACAGATTTGGAGTAGCCACATTCCCTCACACGCTGTGTTCTCATTCATCATGATGCTCTTCTCTTGTTAGATATTTAGATTGTTTTTCAATTTTGTTTTATAATAATGCTGGGGGTAAGTATTTTGGTTATAAGTTTTAAATTTATTTTCATAAAAATAATATGTGCTTGCCCATTGTGGGAAATGTACAAAATAGAGAAGCAGGAAGGGAAAACAGCCATCTGCCCTCCACAGTTGTAGGGAAGCATCATTAATAGCTTACTGTATTTCTTTCAAGCTCATATACTTTATTTAGCTTAATTTTGGGGCTTTACAGCATAAGCAGAATGAATTCTTATTGTGTCATAATGTCCTTATTTCCTTAATATTGGAAGTTTAAATTGTATTTAAATTTTCTCTTGTTAAAAATCTTGCAGTTAAGGGCCCTCCCTGTTGGCACAGTGGATTAAAGCACAGCACTACAAAGCTAAAGCCACTTCAGTGCGAGTTCAATCCCCTGCCAGGGAGGTGACCCACATGGCGCGGCAGACCTCTCCTGACCTGCCTACTGCATCCCTCAGCAGTGTACTTCGACAGTCTGCCTGTTCTGCTCCCCACTCTGTCTCTGAATCCTCTCACCATCCCTGCACCTCTGGCTTGTACCCCAGTTCTGCATAAATGAATAAATCTTAAAAAAAAAAAAAGATTTATTCATGCATATAAGAACTGGGGTACAAGCCAGATGTGTGTGGGGAGGGGTGGTGAGAGATTTCACCAGAGTCAAAGTAGGAAGCAGAACAGGCAGATCTAGTAAAATACACTGCTGAGGGGAGTAGCAGACGGGTCAGGAGAGGTCTGCTGTGCTATGTGGGTCACTTCCCAGGCTAGAGATTGACTTGTGCTACAGAGGCTGCAGATAGCTTCATAGTGTTGCGACAACCCATTGCGACACCAGGGAGGGCCCAAACTGTGATTTTTCTTATAAAAAGTATGTGCCAAAATGAAGCAGGGACCAAAGAAAAGAGTAAAGAAGCAAAATCTGTGTACTTCAGAGTTGATGTGACGTTCTCCACTCATCTTCTGAGTTTGGGCAGGGGTGCTGGGTCTTGCCACATCTTTACTATTCATCTGGGTCACTTATAATATGTCATGAAACATGTAAGATGCTGGAGAAGATCCCCTTTAGTGATATTAATTAATAAGTTCCTGCTATTATCTAGCTGCCTAAAATAGATTAACATCTGTATATTTTATAATCTGATTTGAATTGATGATTGCTTTTGATTAAAATTTAATTTTGATTTCTAAATGCTAGATAAAGATAGTAGTTCCTTATGTGCAACTTAATTCCTTCAAAATTGGTGATAAAGGGATGTTAATTTAAAGGTACATGTTTTGAGTGAAGGTTTGTAATTTAGACTGTGGTCCCTTCTCTAGCAGAAATAATTAAACTGAGTACTCCAGTGCATAGGAACAACTGCATTTTGCCCTCTTAGATTATCACACAATGTCATGTTCTTCTCTCATTCCCTTGGTTTCTCTATCTCCACATCACCCAGGCCCATGTGGTCCGGTACCCTGATGTCTCCCTGGTGCTGTAGTTCTCTGATGGGTTCATCAGAGTGTCTCTGCTTAACTGGTGTTAAATAACCTTGTAAGAGTTTTTTCCAAAAACGGGCTTAGTAAATGATAGATTGAAGAACTTTATGTACAGATTTCGTACAGATGTCATTCAATTTAGAAAAACATTTCCAACCATTACTGTGTCTTACCCTGCAGGACCCCGTTGCATTGTGCTGCCTCGTGCAACAACGTCCAGGTGTGTAAGTTTTTGGTGGAATCGGGAGCCGCGGTGTTTGCCATGACTTACAGTGACATGCAGACTGCTGCAGATAAGTGCGAGGAAATGGAGGAGGGCTACACCCAGTGCTCGCAGTTTCTTTATGGTACGTGACACCTAGAACCAAATACATTGGTTCTGTGTTGATCTGTGCTGGGGTATAATCACGAGGATTTCTGTTAGTTGGAAACATTTCTGCTTTCTGCCTTTCACATAGTCCATAGGTCAGCCTTGGGGACAGCTTGTTTGCGTGCACTTAGAGCACTTGTGTCAAGACATCTTCCCCGCCGGGGACCATGATGCAGTGTCTGTCTAGTGCTGTGTGGCCATCAGAAAGGCCTTTACTTAGGTTTAACCACTCTGACTGATGCTGCATCTTTGCAAATAAGTAAACACTCTTTCCTCCCAAGATAGTCAAGAGAAAGCCAGTGTCAAGATAAAGAATTCAGTTAATCCAAGTTTCCTACGTAAGCAACCTTGTCAAACAGAAGGAACATATATTTTGGAGTTAATTTTTTTACTTTTTAAAATTTCGAGTTTATGACTGCTTGATAACATCAACTCTGTCCACCAGAATAAAATGGACTTGACGTTTTCTATGAAAATGTGCTGATTGGCTTTTTTGTTTATAAGGAAAATTTTTTTGGTTACGAGACTTAGAAGTTGAGGGCTGTTTCTTTTTAGTGTGGCTTAAGAGTATTTGAGAAGAGGAAAGGGAGAGACAAATGAGGGGCAGGACTCCATCCCTCAAGCTGTGGAAGCTGCTTGCCGGTTGGTTGCCAGGCCCCGGTGAAGGACACCTGTGTCTGACTGCCGGCCCATTTCCCCCGGCTGCTTGGCAGGCTTTGCTCAGAAGGGAGCGGCTAGAGGGAAAGCCACCAACCAGTTCTCTCTCTCTCTCTCAGCTCTTAGATTTTATTGTTGATATTTATGAATTATATTTATTTCCTGAATTCTGGATCAAACAACATTTTGTTATATTAACATACTGTTCAAAAGCTAATGCGTTGGACCCTCCCTGGTGGCGCAGCGGGTTAAAGCACTGCACTGAGAATCTAAAGCCGCTTCCGCATGAGTTCGATTCCCGCCAGCCCCGGAGGTGACCACATGGCGTGGCAGACCTCTCCTGACCCGCCCTCTGCTCCCCTCAGCAGTGTACTTCGTCGATCTGCCTGTTCTGCTCCCCACTCTGTCTCTGGTGAAGCCCCTCACCCTCCGCATCTCTGGCCTGTACCCCAGTTCTGTATGAATAAAAAAAAAAAAAAAAAAAAAAAAAAAAAAAGCTAATGCGTTTAGCTTTTGCTGTATTAAATTTATTGGCCGTCTTGGGCTATATTTAAATATGGAATGTGATTTTTAAAAGTAGGGACATCTGATCAGAAATATTTTAAATGTATTAAAATGTCATAGCTGCCAAGAGTGACGACAGTATAGATACACAGTTGAAATAATAATAGGTGAACACGGTGAGTTAATGTCAGTGTAGCTGACTTGGGACTCAGAACATTCCAAGGCTCTCTGGCATCACCTGGGCTCCCACCCTACCAATGTCTGTAGCCCTCAATGTCTGTAGTGACTATACCTTGAATTTTATGCTTTTCATATTTAATATTCTTTGCTTTTAAAAATAGCTGCTAGCTGTGTGTGATTACTGTGGCTGATACTGTCCAGTTTTGCCTGCTTTCTACCCTTCCACAAAATAAAACAGGGCTGTGATCCTGTGGCTGCTTGTATCTTGCACCATTGTTTCGGAGAGTGCTATGTTGTATGTGGCCACTGTTTATTTTCACTGTGCTATACTGTTCTGTTTTATGATGATACAATTATCTTTTCATTCTATTTTTGATGGACATTGGGTTTTTATTTATTCACTTATAAATACTGCTGCTGTGAATGTATTTTTATCATCAGTGCATCTATCCAGAGTTAGAAGTGCTGGTTGCCCTGATCATACCTAGCAGACTACCTTTTGTTCTCTGTTCTCTTTGACAGTTGGCAGACTTGGGATGATATTATATTGAGGGTTACTTTGCATTCCCTTAATTACCAGTGACATTGGGCCTGTTTTTAGGCCCCTCAAAAATGTTTGGTAAATAACAAAGAAATGAGGCATTTACTTCCACTCCTAATGATTTCTTGGAAACAGATCATGAGTTGTTATTTTGAGTGTAACAAAATTATCCTACACTCTTTCTCATTCCCACCCCAGTCAAATAAAGAATCTGGCCAGCTTTCAAACATTATGGAATTACAGTTCTGTCAGCTCTTACTGTCCTTGTGGTTCTGTCAGGTTTTGGAGATCTTACTTAAACACGTAGTTGGAAATTTGTCTCCACTAGTGGAATCCTGACACTTGATATTGGCAGAATATTCTTTTGGAAAAGAAAATTTTCATTTTTGCCCCAAATGAGAGCTGTATTACATGCTGTGTATGTTAGTTGATAAGGAATGGCAAGTTTGTAATTAATAACTTGGTGTTCGCATGAGTGAGCTACCTGGCTATTCAAAGGATGCAGATATTTTCCTCACCTTCCTAAAAACGTTACGGGGAAAGTAATAGACACAGAACTGTGCACTCTGCTTCCTCCTGTTGCCTGGCAGTCATTAGTCCCCAGTGGTGCCCTATGGGATAGGAAGGAATAGATGGAAAAGGTAAAGCTTGAAGGAGTAGTAATTTACAAATCTGTAACTAACACTGGTAAAAAGTGGAGCACTCGACAATTTTTCCCATCCCAGCTTTTAGATTTTGTTTTAGAGTTTGGATTCTTTATTATTATTTTTTTAATTTTAAAAATTTATTTATGCAGGCCAGAGGTGCAAGGGGCAGTGAGAGGATTCCTCAGAGACAGAGTGGGGACCAGAATAGGCTGACTGATAAAGTCAAAGTACACTGCTAGGGGAAGCAGCAGGCAGGTCAGGAGAGGTCTGCTGCGCCGTGTGGTTCACCTCTGGGGCAGGGATCGAACTCGCACTGAAGTAGCTGTAGCTCTTCTTCTAAAGTGCTGCACTTTAACCTGTTGTGCCACCAGCGAGGGCTGAGGTTTTTGTTTTTTAAGAATTGACCCTTTGTAGAATATTGAAAACTGGCTCTCTTTATTTTCAAAGATGACTGTGTGTAAACTTAGTGTGTCTAAAACATTTAGTTATATTGCTGCATTGTAACATACAACATGAAGCAACTTTATAATTTTTATCATTCATCATTCCCTACATTTCTCAGAGACCACTTTAGTGGACACAACACTCTGGGCCTTTTTTCCTCTCTCTGCTTCTAAATTTTAGGTGAAGAACGAAGAAGTTTGTTTCCTTGCTCATTACACTTAAGAGTAGGCAGAAACTTGACAGACATGTTGATCACTTCAGTATTCCAGATTCCTTGCTCCTGGGCTTGTGAAAGTTTCTGTATCTGAGTAAGCTGTTTTGAGAAATGCTTCTGAGGTATTTGTGGGTTTGGAGCTGCTCAGGGAGGCAGCCCTGACACTGCCCTGGCACCCTCTTCCTCTCACTCAGGTTCTGTGAAGGCGAAACTTCTTAATGGTGAGGATGCGCTCTGACTTAGGCATTCTGTTTCCCTGTCACGATTTCAGGCGTGCAGGAGAAAATGGGCATAATGAATAAAGGCGTCATCTATGCACTTTGGGACTACGAGCCTCAGAACGATGATGAGCTGCCCATGAAGGAAGGAGACTGCATGACCATCGTGCGCAGGGAGGACGAGGATGAGCTTGAGTGGTGGTGGGCGCGCCTCAGTGACCGGGAAGGCTACGTGCCTCGGAACCTGCTCGGGGTAAGTGCGGCTGCTCCTGTCTTCAGTTGAGCCAGAGCGGGGCCTTTCGAAAATGCGGAGTGCTTTAGAAACATTGCAGCTACTGCCCTTAGTTAATGAGACATGAGGTTTTCAGTTTTGGGTGGTTTCACTGATTCCTATCATCAGTGGCACATTTAAAGTTTGCCAGCCCTGAGAGGTCAGGAGTCATGTGCACATTTATAAATAGAATAAAGATTACTGGATGATGTGATGGGAATTGACCTTGGACTTTGGAAATAAAATTTAAATCTACCTAAATCAGGATTTGCAACTCTGGTAGAATTTGAACAGGACCTAGAGGCAAGATTCTCTGTTCTTTCTTAAGTTTTGTGAAATCCAAGGAAATAAAAAGTCTTATCAGCACCTATAAACCAGTAACACTTCTATTAGCCTTAGGCTCTTTCATAAGTACAAACGTTCCCTTCTAGATTATATGTGCTTCGGGTTAAATGCATGAGGAATAATGAGAGACTTGAGAAAAAAGTTGAAAGGTTAAAAAAAAAAGTTCTTGCCCAGGCCACTGTTGGCTAGGAAGCAAGGAGAGGCCAGGGGAGGAAGGGCCCGTGGCTACCAGCAGCTTCTGCCGGGTGAGGTGGGGGGGCAGGCAGTGGAAGGAGTGGGCGAGGCCCCTCCAGAGCCCTGTGCGAGCCCTCCGGAAGGCATTTATTGTGTTTTCACCGACTTTGGACAGCCGCTATCCGGCCCATGTGGAGTTTCTGCGCTGGCACTGAGGCCGTGAACGGGCTATGCCTGAAGGTTCGCTGTCAGGCGGCACTCTGGAGTGGGCAGGTGACCCAGAGTGGAGACCTGGTTGGCTGGGTTCGCACCAGCGCAGCCTCCCCACCCCCACTTGCCTGTCTCATGTGCAGGTAGAGGACGTCACACGCCATGGCTGCCTTCCCATGGCAAAATTGATTCAGTGAACGTTTAGGTTTAGGCCATATTTGTGTGATCATAATGTAAATTATAAAGGAGGAGGAAAGTAAAAAAATCAGGCCATGGAACCCTTTACAGAAAATTTCAGATTACCAGACAGAACTAGAAACACAAAGGCTGTTTTCTTTGGCACGACCCCCGACCCCTTCCGCAAAGCCTCTAATTCCAGGGAAGACTCTAGCACACACTTGCCTTCTCGAATAAGTCTCACAACAAGTTAAGCATTTCTACTTTTTACAGTTTATTATCTGGGGAAGATTCTCCCTCCCAAAACCCGGCGGCTCGAGTCTTTTCATCTGTTTAACAAAGAGGCCCTGTGGGTACTGCTCCCTGGGGGGTGCGTGCTGGTTCCCAAGTTGGGGAGCCACAGAGGGCAGACTGGGCTCTGCCTGTGTGTCTGGCTCTCCCAGGGTGTTGAATCCAGTGGGTCAAAGGAAAGGTTTTCTTTTCACTTTAATCTGACATTTAAATATTCTTTGTCCTTTGGAAATCTTCTGGGTAGAATTGGCCTTTCATGCTTTTTTGTGTTGAGATTTTTAAAAAAGGAAATTGGTAAAAGTGTTGAACTTTTAGATGGAGGCTCTAACATGAGTTTAGAAAATTTGTATTGACTAAATATCTTTTCTTAGAAAATGAGTCCTTTGTTTAACATTAACATTGATCCACCGGCTAGTTTTTCAGTTTTGGCTGGAAGTCAGAACAGTCTTTCAGTAAACCTTTCCCCTTCTGTTTAGGGAAGTGGGGTGAGCAGGAGGGCTTTTGTTTTGTTTCCCAGCTGAATTACTAGTTTGACTTGCTCTTGGCTTCCAGTCTGGAGGTCATACGACCTTCACAAACATTCTCCTCTCTAGCTCTTGTTATGGAAAACACAAAACTACAAAACAAAAACTCCACTTACCTTTCTTAAACCTGTAGACTTTTAGTCTGGCATTTCTTCCCCACAGCCTCAAGTCCCATCACACCACATTATGTTCATTATGAATAAAGTTAGAGAGACTTTAACCTCTAATCTCCTCCCTCAGAATGGAATCCTGGCAGTCCTTCTTCCTCTTAGCCGTGACTAACAGTTCACAAGTGCACAAGTGGAGTTAATGGATAGTGTTCTCATGGAATTTTGCCTTCGTGTGTCCTTTGTCGGAGTTGCTAAATGTGGATCTTGGTGTGCTTCTAGTATTAAAATCTTGTTACACTCCCACATCTGTATATTATGGTAAATATTTTTGAAACTCTCTTACAGCTGTATCCAAGAATTAAACCAAGACAGAGGACCTTGGCCTGAAACTTTACAGAATTTTAGTTAATGAAGAATTAAATCTCTATTATCACTAAGAAAGTGATTATTTTTGGCAAAAAATTCCTGAGACTATTTTAATGACAATGTAACTTGAAAGCAATGAAGAATGTGCTCTGGAAGAAGATGAAGGGTTGAAGAATCCACTGCTCCTGGGTGAATGGAGCATGGAAGTTCGCTGATCGCACTGCGGAGCACAGGCCTTCTGCGTGGTGTGCAGAGAGCCACCGACAGGCCTGTTTCCCCACAACACAGGACTGTGTTCCCTGGGGCTGCTGGCAATTTTCTGTCCTGCCCTTTTCCAGCCCATGCCTGCCCTCCACTCGAAAGGACCAGTGTGCCCTGGTGGCGTCTGCTCGAGCACTCCAACACTGGGCACTGGAATGAAGACTCAGTGGTGCAGACACTGTGTTGTCAGTGAGGAGCTGTTCGTTGCTTGTCAGTGAGCAATAATTTTCTTACACAACTTCTTGTAGCATCTTAAGAGTTACACATATATTTGAAATACTGACACTAAGCTACACTACAGGTAATTAGACTTAGCATCTTAATTTTTAGGCTAATTTGAGTCTGTATTTATTGTCTTTTATATCTCGGAAATCAGAGACATGCTGTAGTTACCTATGATATTTGTCAAGATAACTGACTTTAAGAACAATTGTAATAAAATTTTTTGACTCTGAGCTTTTAACTGGTCTTAGTTTTTGATGACAGAAAGTCTTGTTTAAAATTCACTGTCATTGGGATATGTTAGCCTGCTAAAAAACATATGCAAGTATTCCCTTGCTTGCAGAAAGCTCTGTTTTACAGTTCATGAGTTTTCTCATGGTCTTTGATACAGAATTCAGTTTTCTTTTAAAAGCTCTTAGTGACCATGGTGACAGACATGTGTACCTTTACCTAGTATCTCTGATAGTGTTTCAGCACCCTGTGTTATTTCAGTTTTCTTCTTTTTTTTTCCTTCTTAGTTATTTACGTTGATTTATGAGATGAAAACTTATGGAGACAAACCTACTTGTTTGATTAATGTTGCCAAATTGTTTGGAACCCGTTTTATTTAATGAAATTAATTTAATAGAAGATATAAATGAAAAAAACAGCGACCTTTTTTCCCCTTGTACGTTTTTATGAATAACTAAACCCTAGCAAGGCAGACAGATGCCATGCCTTTCAGAGCACTGGGGAGATGGTGGCACCGTGAACCAAAAGCCAGCAGCATGCTGGACAGACTGACTCTACTGCCTCCCTCCCCCACTGCCAGGTTCCTGTCCCCTGACACAACTGAATGCTTGTATCCTCCTAAAATTCTTATGTTGAAACACCCCCACTCCACATTGTGATAGTTTAGGAAGTGAGACCTTTGGGGGGTGGTTGGGTTTAGAGAGGCCATGTGAGCCCCCATGATGAAATCAGTGACCACACGAGAGGAAGAGACCCTCCCCGCTCCCTGGTCTTGGACATTTATCGATAACGAACTGGGCCTTACATCAAGGACACAGCGATGAGTCACCCTTTAGGACCTATATAAGAGACCCTTCCCCCTTATTGGGTTGGCAGTAGCTGCGGACCCCACTCTAGGGGCTCCGTCTCAGCTGCTGTCCCGGAGCAATAAACTCTGCTGGCTCAGCCTTCTGCCTCCCGCCTTCCTTCTTGCGGCCAGTCACAGAAGTTGGGACAAAACACCCACTCACCTTGTATCTCACCCCCCGGTCTATTATTTGTTGTAGCAGCCTGAACTAAGATACCTGGTTATTCAGACACAACCCTGTGGCTTACTATGAGGGACTTCACAGGTTTAATTGAGTTCATTAGTCAGCTACCTGAATTAGATTATCCTTGACTACCCAGGGCACAGTCACATGAGCTCTTGAAAGCAGAAAAGATGATGCAGAAGAACAGTTCAGTGAGATAAGAGGTGAGAAGAGGACTCTACCTACCAATGCTGGCTTTGAAAGCCAGTCGGGTGTCACAGGAAAGTGACAGCAGGCAGTAAGGGCAAGTGGAACATACTCGTCTTTCAGTGAGGAACATGTTAGCCTAGTGAGATGGTGCTGGACTTCTAATCTACAGAACTGTGAAATAGTGGGTTTTTATTTAGAATTGGGGTGAAGATCAGAGGCACAGGGGGTGAGAGAGAGGATTTACCAGAGACAGAGTGGGGTGCAGAACAGGCGGATCTACTCAAATACACTGCTAAGGGGAGCAGCGGGCAGGGGAGACAGGAGAGGTCTGCTGGGCCATGTGGGCTCACTTTGTGGGTTGGCTTTCAGGCCTAGTGGTGATAGAGCTGAGACTTACCCTTATACCACCATGGAGCCTCTAAAGGTATTTTTTAAAGTTTCTAACTTGAACATCATTTGTTTTCTTTTTTTAACTTGTTTTATTAACCAGAGTATTCTCACACCAAAGCTCCTTGTAGAAATATTTAAAAATACAAAACAGGGCTATAATGCTGAAGGAAGAAGATGAGAGGCAACTTCTATTAACGCTTGGGCATATGCCCAGCCTTGGCCTTTTTGTCTTATCTACTTGAAGACACACTGCTCAAGTTTGTCCTCTTACCCTTGTGTGGTATGGTGATTTCTGACGACTCCACATTTTATCCAGTTTAGTGTTGAAATGGCTGTATTCCATTTCTTTTTTTTTTTTTGTAAAGATTTATTTATGCATACAGAATGGGGTACAGGCCAGAGGCGCAGGGGCGGTGAGAGGATTCAACAGAGACAGTGGGGAGCAGAACAGGCAGATAGTCGAAGTACACTGCTGAGGGGAGCAGTGTGCGGGTCAGGGGAGGTCTGCCACGCCATGTGGTCACCTCTGGAGCTGGCGGGGATCGAACTCATGTGGAAGTGGCTTTAGCTTCTTAGTGCAGTGCTTTAACCCGCTGCGCCACCAGGGAGGGCCAAGTGTATTCCCTTTCTTACGTACTGTAATTGATGCTATAGTCACCTCTTCATGGGAGCAGGATTTTTAGATTTTTGAAAAATAGGGGGAATAAAGCAGCTGGAGTATGGACCTGTGAAAGAGGGTGTTGTGCAGACTTGAGCTGTGCTCTGTGTAAAGGCAGCGAGCCCGAGGGTTTGACCAGGGGAGCAGTGAGAGGGGTGTGGAGAAGAAATTGGGGGTGGGGTGTAGGGAAAATGAGTTGAAAATCAGTCTCTCCACCTCACCCCACCCCCACCATGGTCATCTATGATCAGCAGCTGCGATCTTGCTTGTGCACCTGCACTATGACCTGGGCCCAGAATGCATGGGGCCTGCACATACATAAGTGGGGACATTGTGGCGAGGGGCTGTAAGAGCAGCCTCCCGCGGTGGAGGTACTACAGGGGGAGGAGACAGGTCTGTTCCTGGATTCAGCGTTACAGGCCTGTAAAAATCTACTGAAGCTTCCGTCGTTATCTTTTCATCTGTGAGGACTGAAGATGAACCTACCCAGCCTGAGGGAGAGGAGTGAATGGCCCAGAAAGAGGAAGGTAGTGGCTGGCCCTTTGCATAGGGTTTGGCTTTAGGTGGCCACAAAGGCAGCTATCAAAGAGCAGTTGGGCCGGATTGTAGCAGGTGAAGGAACCAAGGAAAAAAGAACTGGGGGCCCAGGGAGGACAGTTGTGCAGGAGGCTGGGCTCAGGGAAGGCTGGATAAAACAGCAGGGAGGGGTGTGGCATAAGTGCGCTGTGAGCCCTCGGGAAAGGTGCGTTGCTGCAGAAGAACTGAAGATAGAAACATGGGGCTAATCAAAAGACCTGAGACTGCCATTCAGACCAGAGAGCCAGGGAGGGCTCTTTCCTGAAAAAAATTTGGGATTAGTCCAAACTGGCGTTAGCAGTTTTCAAGCGGCTGAAACCGGCTTGAATTGGATAAACCAGTTTGAACCGGCTGAAACCGGTTTGAGCCGGCTGAAACCGGCTTGAACCGGTCTGAACCGGCTGAAACCGGTTTGAACCGGTCTGAGCCGGCTGAAACCGGTTTGAGCCGGCTGAAACCGGTTTGAACCGGCTGAAACCGGCTTGAACCGGTCTGAACCTGCTGAAACCGGTTTGATCCGGCTGAAACCGGCTTGAACCGTTTAACCGGTCTAAATCAGCTTGAGCCAGCTTGAACCGGTTTGTCTACATCAGGCCACTTGTAACCGGTTTTAGCATTGTGACCATTCCCAGCTGGTTGGTATCACTTGTAAAGAGTCAAGAGATTCCCAGGCATGTCCAAACTGGCGTTAGCAGTTTTGAAGCGGCTGAAACCGGCTTGAACTGGATAAACCAGTTTGAACCGGCTGAAACCGGTTTGATCCGGCTCAAACCGGTTTGAACCGGCCGAAACCGGTTTGAACCGGTTTAAACCGGTCTGAACCGGCTGAAACCGGTTTGAACCGGTCTGAGCCGGCTGAAACCGGTTTGAAC